CTAAAACACTGTGCTCGTTCAGGACGGCTAAGTAACAGAGCGAGAAAAACCACTAAGTGAAATCTTCCAACCACACAGTAGACTATGTCTCAGAAGGTTAAAAGAAAAAGTGTGTACCCATAGTGCTGAACCTCATTACCTGCTCAGAGAATGGCTGGCCTCAGGACAGGCACACCTGGGCCAGTCCCACAGCCCGAGTTAGACACAGGGGTATCTGGTCTCCACATCTGCAGACCTAGCTGGGACATGAAAGGGCTTAGGGGCCGCCTTCTGCTGTGATCTGCTTCCTTCGCACAGTACCCAGGCTAACGTGGAGCCTAGAGTACCACAAATGCCACAGCTTGGACTTACATATTTACTAACATTTATGCACGACGACCAATTTCTAGGTAAAAATAAAGACTTAGCAGTACAAACAAGGGCCAGCCGTGGTGGCAGAGCAGTAACACAACGCTCTGCGATGCTGAACCCACAGAGGAAGGTCTCAGGTTGAGCCTCAGGGCCTCCCTGCACGTCGGCACACGTGTATCTATGATTCGAGCTGGCTGAGGCTGGGTGAATCATGGTGTCGGTCCCTGTTAAAGGTGCTATCTCTCTCTCACAGAAGAAATAAACTTAAAAAAAAAATGCCGTAACCATTTAGCAATTGATGCTAAATATGAACTGCCATATTATATAAGAGCAACGTAGCAGGAAATAGGACAAGACCATGAAGATAAGATAGAGGGAAGGGGACCCTTCAATACAAGGTGCTCTTTTACAATTTTATGCCACCTATAATTCCTGCTCTCACTGGTTTTCCACTACCAGAACATGTGAATTTGCAACCCTCAAATGCAACTAAAGACACTATTGGGCCGGCAGGTGGTATGGTGGTTATGGATGCTGGACTCCCAAACGGCCTACTGTAGTTCAAGTCCCAGATCTTGAGACTTGCTTTCTCACTTTCCCTCCCTCCCCCACCTCTCTCTCTCTCTCTCTCTGTGTGTCCCTCTCTGGTCAAATTAAAATAAATAAATAAAGAGAGTTAAATAAAATAATTCTTTAAAAAATCTCTATTAAGAGAGATTTGTTACAGCCTGGAGCCAAAGTATCTCCTTTCAGGTTACTTTAGGCCTGATCATTTTCTTTGAAAGTTCGAAATAATATAATATATTTAATACTCATAGACATAGTACTTCTGGCATGCTTCGAGGTTAATGTACATAAGACTTTCATAATAGAAGACACTTAAAACACCTAATCATTAAATAGAACGGAAATAAGAGAACTGAGTAAGCAAAATAAAAAGAAAAGAAGAAAAACAGTCCATTAATTTGGATTAGAACCAGAGTAGTATTTTATCCCTGAACAATGACGATGTTTTATTCACATTGTTTGGAACACATCAAAGACTTCTTCAGAACACTTTTTTCCCTAAGTGCTATCCTGGAGCCCAGTAAGACAGAACATTAACTCTGAGGTAGTACATCACACTAAGGTATGTTCCTCACAGGATCTTACACTAGGAATTTTCCAATTTGCAAAAGACAATTCTAATCCCTGGTTTTGTAACCCACAACAAAACCAGCACTCTAATATAGTGGCAGGAAGGAATGAAAACGAGTAATTTAGTAATACATATCTCAATTACAAATGTGTAAATCCATTGACCTAAATCTTCCACTTCTAGGAATTTATACTACAGACAAACTTCAAAATGTATGAAATGACATTTTCCAAAGAAACTTACTGAAGTATTACTTACAGCAGCAAAAAAAAAAAGTTTTTTAGAGAAAGGTCTCTCTGGTCAGGCTGGCCATGAGCTTGTAGTCCTCCTACCCCAACCCCTTGAGTAGCCGGGAATTAAGGCACACGCCACCACGCTCACCTTCAAAGAATACATTTTTGAAAACAACCTAAGTCATTTGGGCAATAGTTAAATAAACTGTGGTATTTCCATACAATGATAAGCCAAGTAGCCTTAAAACAAAACGGAGAGGAGTCAGCTCCACGGCATAGCAATAACATACTACTCAAGAGAAGTTGGATCCAGGATTGCATAATGGTTACGTCGCTGGACTCTCATGTAGTTGGAGTTCAAGTCCCAGACCCAGCGGCTTAAACACACTGTGTGTGTGTGTGTGTGTGTGTGTGTGTCCAAACTCCTGAGAGAAGAATGGAGGAAAAGGAATTGTGGCCACCCCCTCTGGGGGGTGTTTCTCGTTTTCTGTGTCTCTGATGAGTGTATGCATCCTACAACAGAAATCTCTCTCACTTAAAAAAAAGAGAGAGAGAAGCTGGATCCTATGTAGGGACAATGATTCAAACCTTCAGCCAAGTCAGTCTGAAATACCTAAAATACACTGAGCATGTGTACAAGTGCCCAAGTTCTAATGGGCTGAGGGAACAAAGGAAAGGGATGATGGCATGACCAGACCCAGTGAAAGGCTTCTTTCTCTCCCTCAGTCAAGTGTGCACACATGCTAAACCACAAAAAAAGAAAAGAAAGTTTTTTCGTGTTGATATTAAAAAAACCCTCCAAGACATGGTAAATGTGCAAAGAGCAGGGGCCAGACAGGGGTGCAACAGTAAAACCCAATGTTCTACAAAGCAATCCCATGTGGGTGGGTTCCTGGTTCAAGTCTGGAGACCCGTCTGAGTACGCTGGGCACATACTTGCCCATGAACTAGAGCTGGTTAAAGACCACCAGTGAACTGCAGTGCCTAGATCCTGCTG